ACCATTTACAGTTCAATTCAATTATTATCAGTAAATTTATATTACCTGCGTTCGGCATTATAAATCGGAGAAGTTGGATTGCTCTTTCATCTCGAAGATGCACAGAAGTGAGATAGATACGAGATCTCATATCTTTCATTTCTATACATCTTCGACATGATAGAACAATCCGACATGTCCTATTTACAATGCCGAACGCAGCTATTGTAGGATCTTTTAATGATCTTTGTACCTCGTTACTTATATTGTATTTGTGATATAAAAAGCGAGTAATGATATGATAACGAAAGCTGCGTGCATTTCTAAATAAAGATAGAAATTGTCGAAAAAGCACTCCAGATTGTATTAGTACATTTATAAAATTGTCCAAAAGATATCCGTTGACCCTGATGAGCAATAAAATAATCGTACAATAAATTTTTAAATGAGGCATGCATAATAAAAGATATTACGAGACATATAAAATAAAAACACGAAACTTTTTTGTATCTCATTTCTCAATTTATTATACGACTATTTATTAATCGTCAGCGGCAAAGATACCTGTACAAAAACTGTATAAATATGCTTCAGTAATCTCTAATGCTCTTGCATCTATATATTTTCTTTCCATTTATTATCATTCTTTTTCCAAATCTTCAAATTTTGTGTAGCTCTTTCTCCTATTTAATCTTTTGTTTTTTCTAATCCTAATTTGTTAGTTATTAAATATCTGTATAGAAGTGTAATCTATAAACACATGTAACATAATGTAATATTATCTTCTCTACATCCTTCTTTTCCCATCCCCATATTTAAACTCCATACGCCATTATAGCATTTACTAAATACTTAAACAATCTTCCTCTTCTATTAAAATCATTCTTACAAATTCTTTCCCTTACCTAAGCTCATACTTTATTTGCGGTTATTATTCTTCTTTTGTGAGTTTTTTTATATGATCTATACTGTTCCCTTTTGTATAAAAAGCAAACCTTAAATATTTAAAATTTTCTACCTCTTTCTCCTCATTATTTTCCCATCTCCATTTGTCCTTGTTTTCATTCTTTCTTCTATTGTGAACTAATATTTTTTTCTCCATATTCAATGTCAACTTCCTGTCTCTTAGGAATATTTTTAAATAATCCATCATATCTATTAGCGCAAACCTTTATTTTACTAACAACACTATATCGTCCGCATAATGTCTATATGCTCTCTTTATGTAATTTAACTCTACATATAATTTTCATATACTTCTCTAAATCCACAAATTAAAAATTTTAGTGGCTTAAACAGTTTATTTTTGATGTCTTAACAATAACATTCTGTAAAGTTATAGATTTAATGAGAAAAAAAGTCAATACTGCCAAAGTATTGTATAGCAGATGCATCAGAGCTAGCATTTCTTTTAAATCATCGCCATATGTACATACAGTCAGCCAAGTTTAAAATGTAAGATAAATAGTGCTCATTGTTGAGGGTTGAGTTGTCCATTCATTTGACATCATAATATTAATGTCAAATTAACATCAAAACCACAAATGTGACGTCAATGTGATATAATTTTGACGTCAATCGACGAATCATTTGTAGGTGCGAAGGTACGTGATAATTATTAAAAAATAGTGATTGTAGCATATTGCTACAACGATTGGAAGGTTTTGACTCACCAAACCGAGTCTGGAAAGGTCTTTCAGACTCGGCCTGGTGTTGTACACTTTATATGAACAATATAAGTCGCAATATAAGGTGTTAAAAATTGTCAATATAAAATATATATTTAACTTCAATGTATCATATTAATTCAGCAATGTAATAGCAAAAAACATGCCTCAAATGTGATGTTGCAGAATGCCTCATCGTTTTATATCAATGGATAATCGCGAGACTTGTGAAAAGGATCAGTCTGAAGCGGACAAATATATAAAGCATTAAGAGTAAAGGAACACAATTTTTGTTAATTTGATTACGAATATATGGCTACATTCTAATAATCACTGTTGGTACTAAAAATGTATAGTGTATATAATACCAATTATAAATTATCAGAACCATCAGTGAATATTTGAACTCACCCTTATAAATAAATTGAAGTTTTTTATCTCGTATAACTATTTCAATTTTTAAAAAATTGTGGAATCATGCTTAATCAAGCGACATCACGCTTTTGCTCTTAATGGCACATGTGATGGCAGCAATTGTACAAATAGAATAGAAGTAAGAGACATAAGATTTAAAACAAAAGTTATACATTGTATAGGGCATGGCTTACTGTGATCTTCCTCAAATTGTATCTATTTGTAAACCTGTGTTTTCCTTTTTTACTTGTTTTTACCGTTTCTCTGATTCTATCTTATTTCCGCTGCGATAATCGTTATTACAATATGCAAAAGTTTCATTTCATGTTTGTGTTCCAGTTTAATTTTTATTTCAGACAGATGGTGACAAATATTTTATCTATTGCGCAATACGTTTTTTCCAATGACTTATATCTTTGAGCAATGTCAATACTTTTTTTAAAGATTTGCAAATTATGCTGTATCCTTACACTGCATGCGACAATTGAAATGTGATGAATAAGTGACTTATATATGTATATAATATATGTACTTTAATGCAATCTGTTCCCTCGCTAGATGACTGATCGACCAAGACGTGAAATAACGAAGCCACATCGTTATGAAACCACTTCGTCGGATGAATGCCCGAAACGGAAAAAGATGGAGAAAACCCGAGCAAGGACCACACTGCAGGAAGACATTGACCAGGACATTGGCGAACTGAGAAGGACTCTCGAGGATCCAGATAACATTTCCAATTATAATAATATTATTAACACACAAAGACACACTTTTCCACACAGTCTTCCTACAGACACGATCCATATTTCATGTGAACCATGTACCACATCCGTAACAAAACACTTTTCCACCGAAACAATCCAAACTGCATCTGAACCACCTCCTACATCGGTACATCCACATCCTACATCCATGCCGATACAAATGACCCAATATATATCTGAGGAAAGTTCCATATCCCGACCAATATCATATGTATGCACAATGTCCGAAAACGCTCCTAACACATCTTCATCACACTACAACATACCTCCATACACTTATAACACACATGTAGAAACGCAAACAACATAAACGCAAAAAACATAACGCTAATAATAAACATTCTCATTTTCAGATGTCTCTCCCAACAGAACAGCCCGGCCCATTTCACGCATCACTAACTGAAATCCATAGGACTCCCCAACTTGACAATGAGTAATTTGCAACATTCCGATATTACAAGTTTCACTAAAAATAAAAATTAATTTAACTTCGAATTGTGTAGTCGGTAACAAAAGTATTATATTTAGCAAGTATTATGTAGCAATTCCAGATCACTTCACGAGCGTATGGACCGTTTCGAAAGTGAAATGAAGTAAGTGATATATTTCACTGTATACAAAATTTATATATGTAAAAGTTTAATATTAGGTGAAGTAAAAAGTTCTGAGCGTTTTTTCGCTTTATTTCGACGATGAAATTAACATAGTTAGGATTATCCGATTTCGATCAAATATACGCCGTTTTGTTCGATAATTTTTGTCCATTTTGAAGGCAATTTCATAATTCCGCGATTGAAGAAGTCCTCGTCCCTATTGGTAAAAAACTTGA